GCTCTTCCATTAAACCATAAAAAATTTAACATTTGGCTCAATATAAATTGTAAACAAAAAACTTATCTCTCTTTTCTTTAACTATTTTATACTAGTAAGATTTACATACATACCACTCAATTATTATGTATTTACATATATAATACCTAAACTTCAGATTTCACTTACATGTTGCTCTACCCATACATGAGATGTTATACTTTACAATTTATAAATTAAAATGTTAGTATTTTTTATGTGATATGAAATAAGTTCTCTATCTTTTCATTATGTGCGTACATGAGGTCGATAGTCTGGTTGGATCGACGTGCGATGTAGACACATTCATAGCGGCCTCTCATAATATTTTTTTTTGTTTATTCAGACTCGATATCAATACTCTATGATTCATATTAAATATTTGATTGCTTTTTATGTCATCATGTGGCATAATTTTTTTCAGTAGATTTTTCAAATAAAACAAAAAATTACACGCTCTTGTTTTCTTTTAATGATGTGTTAAAAGTATTTCATGGCGGTGTATTTTTTATTAAATTAGTATATTATTATGATAGCTTATTATGCATTATGATAGTATATAATATTATTGGATAACTTCTAATAATATTCTTGTATTTTCAAGATAAATTCTAAGGGGGTGTTTGGCTAGAGAAAGGATTTAGCAACGGTGGGACTTAGCAAATCCACCTTCCTGTTGAATTTATTAAAACTGGATTTGTAATGAATCGAAGGAAAAATCAGATCTAAAATCTGAAATTTTCTTAAATCCATAAAACTTGCCCTTTTTTGTGTTTTGTTTAGATGTACTAAATCCATCAGATAAATCCTATTAATATGGCGCTACCAAACACCCCCTAAGGATGCTATTGGGTTTTGAAAAAAATCATTTTTTTTTAGCCCTTCCTCTAATTGCAGCGTAGGCAAGGATTGAGCCCTAATATGTCACACAAAAAAATTACATTGTCAAACATAAATTTTAGGGTGTATTTGATAATATAAATTCTAGATTCAAATTCAAGTTCAGTTAACGATATGAGTCCAAATTAGTTCAAATCAAACACTTAAAGTATGATTTTAATTTTTTAATTATTAATTGAAATGTCAAAGAATATCCAAAATTTGTCAGTTTATAGTAAAATCAAACATCTCAATGAACGGAGTCCAACAACTTCCATCTTAAGGATCACTCAATCATGAAGTCATTAAAACACTTACATGTTAAAAGAGCAATATATGATAATATATATTTTGTGTGTAAGATATGTTAGATAATACTTATATACCACATAAGAGACAGACACTGGAGCGGAACGAAGTGAGCAAGCGGAGTGGAGCGAAAGTTTCTTTCCAATCGAGGGGAGTTAGTTATGCTGGTTGGGGGTGCGGGGGCAACGCCCCTGTGGTACTGTAAGGGGTAATTTTGTAATTACATATTGTATATTGGGGTTATATGTATATGTATATATATATATATATATATATATATATATATATATTGTATTGTAT